GACAGAAGAAGATCGTCCTTTTCCCCATCCCCTTTTTTAGGCCTTGTGCCACATTTTCTGTAATTTTACAGAAATAAATATTGTAAATTACTATAAAGTAGTTTGGATTTTAACGTCAGAATTCGTGGGAGAATTGAGCTCCAATTATGTGTCTATGAATGTTATAATCAAATATGCCGGACAAGAGAAATTACATAAAAAATTAACATCTGATTTGTCCGTCGTAATTAATACAGACATATTGATTTGGCCAAAAAAGTACGTTATGTTATTAAGTACACTTAATAAAACCGAGGGAATATTTTGTTCAACCCAACAAATGAAAGATTGCTGATTTCAGGCACGTACACGCACACACACACAAATGCATGCATACGCTCACGTACATACACACACATATATGGTGTTAAGAAGCATAGTATCGGAACAAAAGTGGAAATAATAAGCTAACGACTTTTGCTTCTTTATGACAGACGTCTTCAGGTCCCTAATTAAAGAGAAACCCGTCTGATGGCGTTGGAATTTTGAGAAAGAGCTAATAAAAATCTTTATCAAATACTACGGCCAGGTGTTTTTTCTTTCCGTATTGAAGCGGTTAACGTCTGCTGGATTTGAAATCAGCCGACTCCGAATAGATCACCGTTTTTGTTTTCTCTATCAGTTTGTTGTGACCAAATAAATGGTTAAAGAAATAACAAAAACCAGGGTTGCAGATATATCATCTATTAAACAGTAAGTACAGCAGAAGAGTATTACACGACGAGTGAGTGGATGTCGGTTGACCCAGCGTTCAATTTACTCGACTGTTCAATATTTAACAGCACCCCCCCCCTCAACCCGACCACCACCACCACGAGGGATCTATGTGGCACAAGTTCGAGTTTATCGTGGGTTCTCCGAGCCCATAGGCTCGGACAAAAATATTCCCGTAGAACCCGAATAAGCGGGTTCGGGTCTGTCTATCTCCCCGGACGAAACTCTGCCATTCGGTACAGCCTCGTCCGGGTTCTTCTCTACCCAAAGGCAAAGTGTTCGACAGCAGCTGCGAACAGTCACAGCCCGGTAGAACAAACTATTCGACTGTTACATTTAACAGCATCCCCACGAGGGATGTATATGGCACAAGATCGAGTTTACCGTGGGTTCTCCGAGACCGTAGGCCCGGCCAAAAATATTCCCTTAGAACCCACATAAACGGGTTCAGGGCCTGTCTACCTCCCCGGACGAAACTTTGCCATTTGGCAAAGCCTCGTCCGGGTTCCTCTTTGGCAAAGGCGGAGAGTTCAACAGCACAGTCCGAACAGGTCTGTTCGACTGTTTCTCCAAGGCCTTCTCTCCTACTAATCTTATAGTAGGCGAAAGAGTCTCTTTAGACTCTTTAGAAGGAGGACACCACAACACAGTTCATATATCGCATTGTGCTATTATCACTTACGCGATAATCGGTGATATCATTTTGTTACAATCTACCAAGAAAGGTGACATTTTGTAAAAACCTGGGTACAAATTTATTGTTAATGTTCTAGCAATTAAAGCACTTTCTATATAATTTCGTCTTAGTGAATTGATTTCTCTTTTAATTAAAACATCATTTAATGTGGGATGATTAATAAAAACTATATAAACAAAAAGAAAAAGAAACTAAATAAAATTGTCTAGACTATAAACCAAAACACACATTTAAAAAATAAATTAAATTAAATGTAAAAGATTAAAATTTCAGCGTTCCGGCTTCTTCATACACATGCGTAGTTAGCTCAACGTCAACATCAGTTTAGTCCGATGGCACCCTCAAGGGCGAAACGTGTCACACGAAAAATGTTTTTACACTTTGTTATTGATTTTCCTAACATAAAATTATATAAATAGTTCAATTTATATATTACTATATATGTGTTTAAAATAGGATATGGAATCCCGACAAAATTTTTAAGAAATTTGACAAATGGTAAAACAATTCATTGAAAATAGATTTGATTACGCATTTCCCTTTTCTAGGTTTCATCAGATCCCCAAAATGTGTGTGTATTTGTGTGGATGCTTAAATGATGAATCAGTACTTTTTTTCCGCTAAGCTAAAATGAGTGATTTTTTAAAAAAGCCATTAATATGTTTTTTTATAATTCTTAGTTCATGTCGAAAATTATTAATATATTTATTTCCCAGATATTCTTTATCTAATTAAAGGTAAATCTCCATCTCATTTTCAGAATGGCTCAAAAGGAATCGATTCATTTATCATTTTCTGAAATTAATCCATAGCAAATCTTCATCCAATCTTTAAGAGCGGGTTTAAAGTAAAAGATTTACATGTTCTTAGGTCTCTCTATGTGTTTTCCGTAACGACAACGTGTTTAATGTGTATGTGTATATGGAATCCCGACAAAGTTTTAAGAAATTTGACAAATGTAAAAACGTTTCATTGAAACTAGGTTTGATTACGCGTTTCGCCTTTTCAGGCTTCATCAGATCCAAAAACCAAAAGAAAGAAATTTATGTGTATTTGCGTGTCTGCTTAAATAATGAATAGCACTTTCCACATAAAATGGCGTTTCTCGTGATTAAGAATAAGAATGAAAATGAGTGACTTCTATAAAAGCCATTAAGATTTAGTCTGTATTTTTACTTTATAATTTTAAGTTCATGCCGAAAGTTTTCCCCAGCTTCATTATTTAAGCATTCACACACACACACACACACACACACACACACACACACACACACACACACACACACACACACACACACACTTTTTTCTTTCGTTTTTGAACCTGAAGAAAGGTAGAAAGGCGAAAGGTGTAATTAAATCTAGTTTCAATGAATTTCATTTGTCAAATTTCTTAATAACTATATATATAAGTTTGAAATTTGAAAGTTAGAATTAGCGTTCATTCTCTCAGAAAGAATATAAATGTCTAATAATAAGTTCAACTTAGCAAGGATTTATCATTGTTCGATGCTGTTCGTGAATTTCGAAGCTCTGGATGTGCCACATTAACTCGTTAGATGAATTATATCTTCGCAACTGATAGATTATATATTGTATATTGGTAAGACTTCACATGTGCACGACAGAAGGATGCTGGGAATTTTTTTTTTTTTGTTATCAACCGAATTCAATTCGATTCGAGTCATTTTCATTTTCTTTCCAACATTTTTGTAAGTAGGCATTCCATATTGTTCATTCCTGGCAGGTCTTCTACACCTACTTACAAAATGGATGAAAAGAAAAAGAAAATAATTTTAAATGAATTCGGATGATAAAAAACAATTATACATCATATATATAGATTTCAGTATTGAATTGAGTGAAAGGTTTTAAAATAAAATATATTTTTTTATTTATATATTTTTATATATATATATATATATATATATATATATATATATATATATATATATATATATAATATCAATTGATAATTAGTAGGGATAATTCCAAGGAGGATATTAATCTGAAGAGAGTTCGATGTAAGTAACAGAGCAATATGTGTACAGACTGTACTTAAAAAATACATTCGGTTATAATTTATTTCATGAATATACAAATATTCGTCTTTTTTTCATAAAATCAATTTTAGTAAAAAAACTTAGTAAAATCTATTTTATTTAAAAAAGAAATTTAATAAAATCTATTTTATTAAAAAAAATTAATAAAATCTACTTTATTAAAAAAATTAATAAAATTTATTTTATTAAAGAAAATTATTAAAATCTACTTTATTAAAAAAGATTAATAAAATCTATTTTTATTAAAAAATAATTAATAAAATCTATTTTATTAAAAAAAATTAATAAAATCTACTTTATTAAAAAAAATTAATAAAATCTATTTTATTAAAAAAATTTAATAAAATCTACTTTATCAAAAAAAATTTATAAAATCTACTTTTATTAAAAAAAATTAATAAAATCTATTTCATTAAAAAAATGAATAAAATCTACTTTATTAAAAAAATTAATAAAATCGATTTTATTAAAAATATTAATAAAATCTATTTTATTAAAAAAAAATTAATAAAATCTACTTAATTAAAAAAAAAAAATTAATAAAATCTATTTTATTAAAAAAATTAATAAAATCTACTTTATCAAATAAAATTTATAAAATCTACTTTATTAAAAAAATTAATAAAATCTATTTTATTAAAAAAATTAATAAAATCTACTTTATTAAAAAAAATAATAAAATCTGCTTTATTAAAAACTTCGTTTTATTGTATTGAGTACTTAGGTACTTTTGCTTTACTCGTTTTGGAGGTTTTTTTTCTTTGAACTCTGAACTTGGATTCTAGACAATGTTCAATTTACATGTTCTTAGTTCTTTTTTTTGTCCCTTATTTTTTCTTGGGTATTAGTTTGTTCATTTACAAGCCATTACAACTAAGGTTTTTCCAGACGTGTATAATTACTTATATATATATATATATATATATATATATATATATATATATATATATATATATATATTTGTATTCATTTAGTTGTCTTCGACGTATGAGGGTCGAGAATTTAAGTTCCTAGAAACGAGCCATTACATATGATTTGATTATCTAAATCATCCACGCTTATCGAACGACAGAATACAGAGATCTGGTGCACATAGTATGACACGCAGACCCCAAACATCGCAACTCCTCAGGTTTTGAATTCAGAGTTATCCTAGACTGTCTGCCAAACAAAAAGTGATTAACTTCAAATACATTCGACCACATCGATAAAATATTTGACTAATTCGTTTTCTACGTCTTATCAACCATTTACAGGTTATTTAAATCCAGAAAATACTTTTTCGATTGTAATTTGTTTTGAGATAATAATAGTTTAGCGATACAAGTATTACTAATTAACCCATAGTTAGGGGGAGAAGAGGTAGATTCATACCTTTCCTAAGGGGATTTGCGCGTAAGTGAATATAACGAACCCCAACTGGAATTCGAACTCGGCTATCCGTTTAAATATTCCGAGCAATTATCCATTATACCACCCGCACATCCAAG